ACTTTATCAAGGCTCCTTCATCCATAGAACGGCTAGGCTCTGGAATTCATTGCCTGTGGAAGTATTCCCAACAACATATAATCTCCAAAAATTCAAAAAAAAATCCAATACCTACCTCCTGTCCCTATCCTCCCTAGGAACGCACGATGTTCTTTGAACATTATAGGGATTCCCTTTCGTGCGCTCCAATCGATAAAAAAAAAAAGTAACAGATGAATATCTCGGTAACCGTTTGTTGGATTGCCTTGAATTTATGTACAGGGTGATTCAAAAACCGTTATCGTCAATGCTGCCACTCTTTAGGTTATTCCGCGGAATTATTATTAACTTCCTTTACATTGAATTGAACACCCTGTACTTTATCGAATTCTTAGATCATTTCTGAAAAGCTGGTTTCATTGATCTATCATACTTGGGGTCTATCGGCAATGATTACAATGTGGATATAGGGTGTTCAAAATGGAGATTTTTCGACTATAGAATTGTTTTGTGTCGAAACTAGCTATTTCCGGATAAAACGGCTTACATATTCCTATGGCTACTTTCGATTTATTATTATATCTACTGACATTTGAATGAAACAGATACAGAGGGTGCTCAGGATTCTGAATGTTGGTCCACCCTGGATTTGATTCATAATTGTCAGTAAATATTAAATCAAAAGTGGAGGTAGGGACAAGTGAGCCGTTTTGACAAACAATGAATGATTCCGACAAAAAAAAATCCTAAAGTTGAAAAATCTCGACTTTCAATAACCTATATCTCTGTAATCATTTCCGCTAGACCCCAAATGTGATGAATCTATCTATCATCTTTGCAGGAAGATTCTGAAAATTCAATAAAATACAGGGTGTTCTATTCAAAATAAGGAAGTTAATAATATTTCCAGAATAAGTGGCAACATTGGCGATAACACTTTCAAATCCGCCACGTTCTGAAATCTCCCAACTTTCTGCACTATAGATCCTCAGAAGGTGTTTCCAATAACTTCTCGATTTCTCGTTATGAAAGTTGTACTTTCTATTCTATTCTTCCGCATTATTTTGACTTTTCCGCACGATTGTTACTTTTTCGCACGAATCATAGCACAATATTTTGATTCAAGATATATTATTCTTCACTTCAAATCAAATTACTATCTATAGGTAGGTACTGTTTTTCATTCGGAAAACCTAGATCTGTGTATCAGATATAATATCATGCGGATGAGTAACTTTTCGTATTGTTAAAAATGAGGATATTTAGGGCTGACTGAATGATTAATGTTACCATTCTGTCTTATATGTATCATTTCGTAGCATTATTATAAAATCTTGTTTGTGAACCTTTTTTCATAAATAATATGGACCGAAACACTCGTAGGAACAACATTGTCCCTAACTCCTCCACCCTTGACGGCTGCTGTCGTGTGCGAAAGAGTACTACTTTTTGGTGAAAGAAAAGTACTTGACTTTTTCTAGGTATATCCACTTGATTTGAAAATTGGTAACGTTATGCATAAAATGTGAGATGTGTGATAATATTTATTCGAGAATAATTTATCTGATCCATACGGAACAAGAGCACTTTTCTTCTGTAAAAAAGGTGTGGATTTTCATATTCCGAGAGAAAAATTTCGAGAAATATGTATATACAAAGGAGTTTGAGCAATAATTATTCGGGGGTAATACCACAAGAGCTCAGATTTAGCCGGATATTTTTTGTGGTTGTTTTCGAATACTTACTTTCATTGGCAATTTAACGAGAGCTGTTCTGTTAACGATCGAGTTAAATTACCTATATGAAAGTAAGTATGAGAAAACCACCGTAAAAAATATCCTGCTAGATCTGAGCTCGAGTGGTATTTGGTAAGACAATTCCATGAATAGAAAACTCAATTCAATTAAACTTTATTTAACCAACTAAAAGAACAACAAGTAAAAGAATAATGTTTAGAAAGAACAGTTGTTAAAAACACAATTATTATATACAATTGGTTCAGTAGACATTTGCTCCTTCACTGATGTAGATTTTGTGTTTGACATTGACATGGATGTGGACACTATGGCTGATTCATTAACCAAAGCTTTATTTCGAAGATTTGTTACAAGATGCGAATGATGCTCATTATCAAGTTGTAAATAAGGCTTTATGGACTTGGAAGAGGAATGTCCAGTTATTTTTATCAATTCTTGTTCATTGATACCTGCTTTAGCTAGAGTTGACACGGCGCTTGAGCGATGAGAATGATTAGAAATTTTTTTATTCTTTGTATCCAGTCCAATTTTTTCAGCTGAAATTTTCGTCCACTTGAGAATTTCGTTGACTCCTATAGGAACATTTTTGTACCAACTTTTCGGTGAATTACTTTTCCAAAACGGATTGGGGGTTATAAATAATCTATCAGTTGTAATATGGTTCGGTCTATGTGATAATATTTTATAAAACAATGTTACTGGGCATATGCTTGGGTTTTCTATGTTTTTTATTAGCCATTTACTGTCGCAGCATTTGTTTGAGCCGCCCTGACATGTTTTGGAAAAAACTGTATTATATTCAATGCGGCCAGTAAAATCACCATTATTTGATTTTTCTTCTTTAAAATAGTGTACTACACATTTTGCAGCTTCACCTCCTCGCCAAGCTAATTCATATGCAGCGATATGAAAAAATCTTTTTAAAAGACCTATAGGACTATTTTCATCCCATATCAATGCCATTTTAACAATTTCACTTTTAGTCAAGGCTGTTGAACTATTTTTACGTTTTCCTAAATTACCTTGTAAGTTCTTTCGCTTAGAATTACGTGCATCACGGGATTTCTTGAATGCCAAATCAGTGAAAGGATTGAAAATAACATTAAATTTTTCGAAATACATGCTTTGCAACATCTTCGCTGTCGTGTTCCACATTGTTTTCACCACGTATTCTTTATAATCTTCCCCATTCTGTTTCTTCATATTAAAGCCCAAGTCCATCAATATTCCTGCCACATTTTCCACTGACTGTTCGGTTTCCAAATTGAAGTTTCGTTGTTTACAAAATTCGCTGAATTGATTCCAAATGGAGGATTGACTTTTTTTTGTATTTTCTGGAGTTGATTTTTCAATCTCCCTCACTATTTCTGCCTCGCAAATGTTTCCAAATCTCGACATACTCACTGGAATATTATTTGCTGATCAATTCTGTTTTTGACATTTACAATTGTCAAACTGATGCGACGCGCAATAACGCTTGATGAACGAACAGTAAATACTAGCGTTGCTATACGGTAACGTAATTTATCCGATTTTTTTATCCACTTGCATTTCTGTTCCTTCATATTTAGCCGATAGCAAACTACGATTTTTGTACAGCCACCAGCCTAAAAAGGTGAGATTTCCTAGCGACGTCCAGCGTTCGCGGCTCACGGCGACGTCTAGCAGTTACACTGGCAGCGGCGCGATATCATGATTTGCTTCAAGCGTCTAGCGTCCGCGTTTTGGTAGTTGTGAGACCAGGTGAGACATATACCTACCATGGCAAGAGTGTTTTTAGTTCAGGAAAAAAATAATAAATCTTATTATATGTATATGACTCAAATATTCCAATGCCAAATAACGTCATCACATTAACAGGAGTGGAGGATTTGCCGATGCAACTGGATTTTGAATCAGAGAAATGTTCTCAAAACCTAAAAAACGAATAAGGAGCAATAGAGTGGCAAGACAACAGAGTTTTCAGAACTTCCAGTTGTGTATAGGTACATACTCCGATTTTTTTGTAGCTATAGCTAAGTAGGTACACATGTAATTTCAATCATGCACATGTATGAATTTAATTTCAGTGCCATTTACGTTTTCAACTTCAGAAAAACATTGTATTTAATCAACCAAAAATGACTAACAACTATTCAAAATCTTGAAACAGTAACCACTCTTGGACAAAACTATGGCAATTTGGTTCCACACATTTTCCCGAATTTGATGATCTTTATCTTTGTTTGCATGGTCATAGATACATGAAAATTCACGAACTTGATCGATTAATAATTCATCTTCGTCAAGGGGTGAATTTTTGAGACATTTTCTTATAATAATATTAAACCACTCTGCTTTGAATTCAGTAACGTCTGGAGTCTACGTTCGCGTCCAGACATGTTTTTGAGCAGTCGAGACGCAGTCGCTAGCTGGACGTTAGGTTAGGACGTCGAGTCGCGCCGCTTCTAGGAAAACGATTGTATACAGATGCATTATACGTGTCTTTAACTGACAGACGTAGCGGCGGGCCGCGAACGCTGGACGTCGCTAGGAAATCCCACCTTATAGACTGCTGTCGTAGCGTACTGAGGAGCAATTTTTCCCAACCCTTTGACGAGAATCGTATAGTACCATGATTTATTGTTGTACAAATTGTTTGGTACCATTATCTGATGTATGGTCGGTCGACTTTGTGTTGCTTCTTTTTTCTTTTGTTGTTGAATTTTTCCATCAGTAATTCGGTTGCCCCCTATACGAGCAACCCTCAGAAGTCTTCGAGAGACTTTTATGAGCAAGGATCGACGGGAGCCTCACCTTTCAACGTGTGATGCCAAACACTTAGGCAATCAGAAATTTCTGCATCGGGGGATTGAAACTACACCACCAAGCCAACGCGGATTAGAATACTGACGCTTCTACCACGAGGCTACCTGCTCAGTAAACACAGATATCCCTGGGATGTCACATTCATGTTTCGCTAGGTAACAATGCGAATTACTAGAAAACATCATTGGTATTGCCAGGGTAAACTTAATTTTACAAAATATTCGTCATATACATCACATTTTATTGGATTTGAGACTTGAAATGTAGTCGAATTTGTGTAGCTCAATATAACAACCAAGAGACGCACTGGAATCTCACATTCTTTTTTATTTACTTAACAAACGGAATCAATCAAATTTGATGTTGAATGAGGAGTCGCTTGATACGTACTGTGAGTTTCATTTGCATTCACTTGCATTATTCACTTGCATCTATGACAACCATGGTAGAAATGAAATCCTAATATGTTGTTAATCATATATTTTTCATGATAGTTGAGATATTGGTAATTTTAGTTTCAGGTACATCATCACTTTCATTCTTCTTCAGGTTCTCTGAATCGTCGTTCCACCACTGAATATCTCCAGAAGCAAATAGGACATAGATCACATTAGATGCCAAATACCAAAGGGCCGAAGTTATGAAAATTATCCTCCACTGGGATTTGTCAGTCTGAAATAGAAAAATATTTATATAACAAGGGTATACTGAGTGGTGAACAGCGTGACCAAGATCATCATGGGGATCTTGGCAGTATAGGAGATATGAATCCGGTTAAATAGGTGAAAAGTTCCGCATTCATTTGGAATCTTGATAATGGAAGATTTCTCAAATAGAGAAAGATACAATATACTCACATTTCATATTGACTGCCAACGAAATTATGTTGAATGATTTTGTGAACTATTTTCTTTATTTCTCAGTATTGAATAGCTATTCCATCAATATTTATATGTACAGGGTGATTCACCATAAATGTCCCCCCCCTCTAGCTCAGTTATTTTTGAACCGATTTCAAAATTTGAAATATCATCTTGAATGATTTTCGATAAAGTTTTTTTCCGCTAGATCAGAAAATACAGGGTGCTCGGAACAAACGATCTACAGGGTACTATTTGATTTTTTTAAATGGAACACCCTATTTATTATTGTATTTTTAGATTCTCCCTGGAGAGCTGATTTTATCAATGTATCACACTTGGGGTCTAGCGGGACTGATTACAGAGATATAGGGTGTTCAAAATCGAGATTTTCAACTTTAGGATTTTTATTGTGACGAAACTATTCATTATCGGTCACTCGGTTTTCATGTATGTATCTTAACTTTTGATTTACTTACTGACATTTAATAATTGGAACAGATACAGGGTGACCAGAATTCTGAATCTTGAACCACCCTGTAAATGTGCCAATTAAATTTCACTAGATAGTAAATCGAAAGTTGGGATGGGAACATAGAAGCCGTTTTGATCAATAATGAATAGTTTCGGCACAAAAAAATCCTAAAGTTGAAAAATCTCGATTTTGAACACCCTATATATCTCTGTAATCATTCCCGCTAAACCCCAAGTGTGATACATTGATGAAATCAGCTCTTCAGGAAGAATCTAAAAATACAATAAAATACAGGGTGTTCCATTCTAGAAAATCAACCAGTACTCTGTAGATCGTTTGTTCCGAGCACCCTATATTTTCTGATGCAACGGGAAAAAATTTCAGAAAAATCATTTTAGATTATCTTTCAAATTTTTAAAACGGTTCAAAAATAAGTGAGCTAGAGGGGGGGACATTTATGGTGAATCACCCTATACCTATGTGGTTTTATTTATAATAAAATAATAAGCCTTCAGAATCTGTCAACGCATAATCAGGACAGTATTCAGCAAATAAATAAATTGATGATGGTTCTCCGAATAAGAAACGTTGCATAGAGAAATCAATATAACTTAGCTTAATCTCATAAAAAATGCTAGGGAAATGTATTTTCAGTTTTGTTCTGAGTATCCCCAATGATAACGAAGAAATTGAAAAGATTTTCCGAAAATTCACTTCACTCGATATGAAAGTTAATAGATGATTCTGAATATTTTCAAAAGCTGAAGAAATTACCCTATGAATGCGCAACTTTTCTCCCATTCGACCGAATTCGTTTCTCCTATCGTTTTTGCGATCCCAATAATTCTGTGAAAACATTTCTTGGTCACCCGGTGTAATGAGAAATCTCATTTTATGAGGCACTCTTATTGTTTGTGGGTATATGCATTGAATGACAAAGCCATAATTCTTGGCATAAATCCGAATCAATTTTTTTAGTCAAGATATATGACCAAGCTAATTCATAGCATGGAAGCATACTTATATTATAGGAGAGCCAGCTACAAATTCAGAAGTCATCTGATAATGAAATACCATATCTCAAAGGCATGTAGAAACACTGTATTTCGTCAAACGCCATCTGTGACAATCACTATCCTGAACAAGACGATTGAAAAATTACACTTACCTGTCCAGTAATTTGCGCCAAATTTCGCGATTTGATATAACGAAGCCATATACGAATTATGCCATCCGATACCAATTGAATGTTAGATCTAAGAACCTTCATGTGCCACATATAAATCTGAGTCAAATCCTTGGCATAGCGATTTTTTTGCTGCCGTTATTCCGGGCATAATTGTCATTGTGAAATATTTTCGGAAAATTGTTGCTCTGTCACTACGAATCGCAGCAGGTTCTCTTTTTTTTGTGTTCTCTTTGTACCCGCTTTCACGTGACGGGAGTATGTCCGGAATAATGGGAGCAGAAAAGTCGCTGATGTGCTATGAATTTGACTCGCGATAAGGAATGTCGTAGGTAGAGTTCTGAGATCTTTCATTCAATTGGTATCGGATGGCATAGTTTTTATCTCGTTATCGAATCTAGAAATTTTGCGTATATTACCGCATAGGACTTTTTCGATTAAATCAAATCGAATCAGATATACTTTATTGTCAGAAGAGATGGAATTCTCATCGACAAAGTCATTATACTTATAGAAATAATAATTGTAAAACTTCAAAGGGTAATATACAAATAATAATTTCGAGATATTCACGATATGAGAATCATATAACATCAATAAAAAACATAATAATATACAAAATAGATAAAAAAGTGTATATAGAAAAAAATAGGCATCAAAATGACAGGTACAATAATTGATAGTTAAAATTTTACCAAATAAAATTCATCTAACGAGTAGTAAGCTCTCTTTAACAAAATATTCCTCATAGAACCTTCGAATGTCTTGGAATTAGTCAGCATTTTGATATCGTCTGGCAAATGATTGAATAATTTTTTCCTATTATGAAAGAAGGAGTTTTTGATTTGAGTAGTATTGGTATTGGTATAGCATAGCCTGTCTTGTGGTATATTTGGTAATTTTTTCCTATTATGAAAGAAGGAGTTTTTGATTTGAGTAGTATTGGTATTGGTATAGCATAGCCTGTCTTGTGGTATAACGATTCGCTTTTTATAATGTTCATACATGTATTTACTGTAAATAAGACATACTGTTGTTCAAATGGAGATACATAGCAGTGCCAATATTATGTTTTCAATAAACAAAGGCTCACAAGAATCTCTAAATTTCATTTTACATGAATACCTCACTGCTCTCTTTTATAACACCAATATCATTTATCATTCGAAATGAAAATTGACTGCAAAAACCCCAAAAAACAAATTCCATATCTTGAATGGGAGTCGATAAGAGCAAAGCATATATACCATCTTCGCCATATCTTTACCAAGTTCCCGAGATGTTGTTCTAACTGGCAAAACACCCAGAGGCTAACTTTTTCCTCAATTTGTCAGTATGTTCTTCAAACTTTAATTTATCGTCAATCTGTAAACCCAGAAATTTTGTTACAGACTTATTTCTTATTACTTGATAACCAAGAAACAATTTTTCTTTTCTAAGGATTAAGAGAATGGCACAGGTGCCGTTCGATGAGATGAAATGTTTCTAAATGCCCTTGAGATATGTCATTTCGTTATCAGTCGACTCTTTTGGACTAATGACCTAATAGTGATGACTAAGACGTTCTTTGGCATTACAACCCAACTACTCTACTTGGAGATAACTTCCATACTGTAGATCATACTTTTAGTTTCCCTTCTTACCTCATCCGTTACAATAATCTGCACAAGTAAAGGTGCCAATATGGCAAATAGGTTTCCGGAACTGTTGCCTAGAGCTACAAGGATGCCAGCATACTTTGGAGATAAGTCAATGTGGTTAACATTGAACCCTCCATTTATTCCTGCATTGGACGCCACTGCGACCATCAGCATCGACACAGAAAGGATTCTGGAGTCGTCCGGAAGAAAACTGAGGATCATGAGTGCAGCTGCAGGAATAACGCTAGCTGGAAAACAAAAGCAAATAATTAGGAGATCACAAAATTCGAAAGAATATTGAATCAATTTCGCTTTCAAGTACAAGAAATTATGACAAATTAGAAAAGACAGATAATTTTTTGATGTTGCTTTGTTTATTGAGTCATTTTCGCTTCCACTGAACAGTTTGTATGCATTGTTTTCTGGTTTTTGTTTTATAGGTACCGGGTGGTCCACTTAAAACTAATCCACCCTTGATAACTCTCACAAGAATAATTTCACAGATAAACAATGTAACACGTGAAATTCGTATTTGAAGGAGAACACCGTTCGACACAAAACTGAAAATACATACTCGACCCACTACTTCCCAGAGCAACCCCCCCCAATGATTAGGCAGCTCGATGGTCGAGAGTAGGTCTGGGTAAAAATATCGATATATCTATCTATATAACTATCGATTTTTTCTCAATATATTGGGAAAAATGAATTTATTTTATTTGTGTAACCCCTAGACTCTTTCGTAATATCCAGACAGTGATTATTATATTTTTAAAATTATTTTTCTGTTCGGTTTGTTCAGGCATGGAAATATATTGCGTAGGTAGGTAGGTTGAACAGGTAGTTTTTTGCTGATTTAATTAGTTCGGTTGGAGATTTTTTAACCTTTGGTTTCGAGATATAGAGTAGAATAGGATTCCTTTTATGTTCTGGTTCCCACGAAAAGGGATATCCTGTGATGTTCGGAGAACATCATGAGAACAAAGGGAAGTTAGTTAGGAATTGTTGTTCTTCTTGAATTTCTGGAGGTTATATGCCTCGGGAAACACCCCCCTTGGCAATGTGTTCCAGAGCCTCGCTGTTCGTTGGATGAACGAGTCTTTGGAAAAAAGATGTTCTGCAGGTCTCCGAAGTGACCACAAACGGTTGCGAAGCTTCAACTCGATGGGTTAATATCGCGGGGACTGCCAAGGGAGGAACAATTATTGAAATTTCAGAAGAGCATTGTCCATGAAAGTATCTATAAAAGCCAGATCGCCAGCTTTTCTACGGTGTTCCAGAGAAGTGAGTGAGTTTGTGAGCGAGGCATCTCCCACGAGACAAATTGCCCTTTCTTGGACAGAATCCAACAGTTTCAGGGTATGTTTGGGTGCTGCACTTCAAATATGAAAACAGTATTCCAGGATAGAATAGTAGTTCATTTATATAATAATATATAGAAATAATTTACAATGTTTTGGCCTACATAAATAACTAGGAAACCCCATTTAGCCTTGGTAAGGGCTGTCCATGGATAAAGTTGTCCTAGCTTACTCACATGACTCTTAATTGGAATTAAATTGATATAAAGCAAATATAATAAAGTGTGAATTATATATTAACATAACAGTAATCATTGGTGGCAAAATATACTATGAATATAAAATGGCGAAAATAAGGTGAACAGCAGTTTTTTTGTGTTTTTTCTTTATATACTATTGGGGTTTGAGGGAATCTTATTCATCCATTGTTGAACTGAAGAAATTATTGCCCATCATTAGAATCCACTTTTTCACTTTTTTTTGTAACTAATTTTTATTTAATATTGCTGATGTATTCTGGGAGATAATTATAAATCCTAGGAGCAATATTGGCTTTATTGGCTCTAGGTAAGGATGCTTCATCATACTTCTGGATTATTTGAGTGAACAGGTTTGGTAAGGTATACTATAGCTGGTTTTAATGGAAAATATGAACTATATAGAACAGACCTCACGTATATTTGTCTCGCATCTAGTATATTCAGGTCTTCATAGAGCTGAGTAGATGGATAAAGGGTTGGCTTAAAGGTCATTATTTTCAATATTTTCCTTTGTAAAACTAACTGGGGTTCCAGAATGGTCTTCCGGGCGCCACCCTACCCGATTATACCATAGCTTAGCAATGACTCAGCGATAGAGTAATATATTATCTTGAGATTATCAAGGAAAAGAACATAACGGCATTGAACAAATTTGTAGAGTAATGAACGGATTTTTTTTTCAAGTTTTTCCCATGATTATCCCTTTTCAAAAATGAGTTAATGAATATTCCTAGATACTTGACCGCTTTCGTCATTTTGACCTCTTGTCCATCAAGAACTATAGAACCGTATGGAGGTAAGTTGTATTCGTACGATGCAAAGGGTAAAATGCAAGTTTTTACTATATTAACCGTTAGCAGGTTTGATTTGAACCATTCATTAATTTTAATCATGTGTCGTTCCGCTGTCTCTTTCACTTCAGCCCAAGAATCCGCAAGATAAACTATGACAGTGTCGTCTGCAAATGAAACGATCTCCCCTTCAGTTTCTGAGGTTAGCAGTGAGTTAAGATATATTGTGAACTTCACAGGTCCAAGAACGGTTTCCTGTGGTACACCACAGAAGACCGTTCTTGGAATGCTCATTGTGTTTCCAATTTCAACCATTTGCTGCTTTCTCTTAAGGAAACTTCTGAAAAGATTTAAGGGGACACCTCTTATTCCTAAGTGTTCAAGCTTCTCCAGCAACAGCTCGTGACTGATAGTATCAAAAGCTTTTGCGAGATCCACAAAGACACCTAGGCATGCCTTTTTGTCATCCACATATAATAAGATTATTTTGAGTAAAGCATGAGAAAAAAATGATATATCGATAAATACCTGCCAAAGGCAAGATGACCCAAAGTTCATAGTTGCCTATCGTTCCTACCTGTGTTGGGAGAATGCGCTGAGAAACTTTCAGCTGTTATAAAATAACGGTCTAGCGTTCATGGAATCTTCCTCAATGTGCTTTTATTTTACTTCGTCAATGAGTAATTGAACCTTCCTGACTTATAGAGTCTTCACCTATATCTATCGATCTGTCTATCTATTTTGCAGAGGAATGATCAGGTGTATTTGAATATAAATAAGTACCTAGCCCTAGCTGATCTCTACTCACCTGTTGTCGTGAAAATTTTCCTTGTATTCGCTCTAGATAAAATTTCCTTGTTGATGGTGTAGTCCGCCAAGACTCCACAAAAACAGGTCAAGATAAAATAAATGAGGTAGGGCGAACCAGACAAAACTCCATTCTGAAAACGTAAAAGGTATATACTTGCAAAGACTTTCAATCGTGAAATGAATATTATTTATCAATAGAGATATCTGTTTTTTTCTTCAGGAGAAATCTTCCAATTATCTCATTATTGTACGGAAGCGCAGAGGGGCCAAGTACTTTTTTATTTTTATTTTGCCTAATATTATGACTTAGTATCTCGTAATTACGACTTACTAAGACGTAATTATGAGATAGAAGACATAATTTCTCAATTACGACTTGTTATCTCGTAATTACGACTTATTAAGACGTAATTACGAGATAGAAGACATAATTTTTCAACTACGACTTGCTATCTCGTAATTACGACTTACTAAGACGTAATTACGAGATAGAAGACATAATTTCTCAATTACGACTTTCTATCTCGTAATTACGCCGAAAATGTATGACCAATCAGATTGCGTAAAAAAAAATTCTAAGCCTATCACAGGCATCGACAAAATCGTTCGTCTACACTCGTAAATAAAAGGTTCGTGTCATGATCGGAGACAAAATAATAGGTTCGGGTACTGACGTACAGCCAAGGGGGAATGAGGGAAAGGGGGAAAGAAAGTGGGAAAGAAAGGGGTAAGGGGGTAAGGGGGCCCAATAATGTTATTGTTGGAGTCATGAGAAGGCATATTTTTCTATTTACAGGCATGAAATAAAGATAGTAGATGATAATTTAGGTAGGTATTAAGGTAAGTGGGCTAATATGTGTATGAATTTTGGTTCTATAACTATCAAATTGTTAAGGAGGGCCCAATGATGTCATTGTTGGTGCCACGAGAAGGCTTATTTTTCTATTTACAGGCATGAAAGGATTGAAGAAGATCATAATGTAGGTAGGTAATGAAGTAAGTGGGCTAAAATGTGTATGATTTTTGGTTCTATTTCTATCAAATTGTTAAGGGGGCGCAATTCTACAAGATTATGATACTTTTCGCATTTTCCGAACATATCATCAAAATTTCAATCGGTCCTGCTGTTGCATCTTCATATCCTCATTACATAAAACAAGTTTCAGCCAGATGATATGCCTGATATGCCGAAGGCATGTCAGGCATATCATTTCCACAGAACCATGTCAGATATTTTTCTACTCCAAAACCTTTCGAGCATATCATCAAAATTTCAATCGGTCCTGCTGTTGCATCTTCATATCCTCATTACATAAAACAAGTTTCAGCCAGATGATATGCCTGATATGTCGAAGGCCGAAGACTTACTAAGACGTAATTACGAGATAGAAAGTCGTAATTGAGAAATTATGTCTTCTATCTCGTAATTACGTCTTAGTAAGTCGTAATTACGAGATAGCAAGTCGTAGTTGAAAAATTATGTCTTCTATCTCGTAATTACGTCTTAATAAGTCGTAATTACGAGATAACAAGTCGTAATTGAGAAATTATGTCTTCTATCTCATAATTACGTCTTAGTAAGTCGTAATTACGAGATACTAAGTCATAATAGTAGGCAAAATAAAAATAAAAAAGTACTTGGCCCCTCTGCGCTTCCGTATTATTGCATTAGCAAAAACAAATGTATGTAGAAATATTACGCCAGAAATAATTGGAAATGTTCAAGACATTATGAATATTAGTGAATATTTTGATCACCTTATTAAATTGTAATTGATGTGACTTGAATAATTTGGAGACATTTGAAATAAGAAATCATTATTGATGTTATACCTATGTTATTTGAATGTTTTTTTTCTGAATAGCCAATACAGAGATGAAGATTACATAAAAGAACGATAATAGCCATCTAGTCGAAAGGATCCTGGCCTGCGATTTCAAACTCTATGATCCGACATTTTGTTCCGTATGAATACGAATATCTTTGGCGTGCAAGCGCCTGATTTATTGTCGGCATCAGAATGTAGCCCTTGAACTATTATTGGAGCTTCAAACTGATAAAATACAATTCTCAGCCTTTTTAAAGTAAACCAAGAGGAGTAACATAGTGTAAGGATAAGACTGTGAAATAATAATAAATGAAGAGGAATCATCAGCGAGTGAGTATAGGTATAGATACTCACCGAATTCATGTCAAACTTCATTACGTTGTTCATATAGTTAGGTATTTCAGTTATTAACGTCGTATATCCCCAAGTTTGTCCAATATGAGTAAACACTATTGCCCAAACTGGAGCCGAGGTCAATATTGCTTTCCAGGGTGCTCCTTTCTTCTGCTAAAATAAGAATCAGGAAGAGAAAATTTATTTTTTAATATTCAAATGTTATTGATAAATGAAACTCATTTCATACGATACCTCATCAGTAACTCACAATGAGAAGTGATCAATCAAAATAATTCGATCAATAAAAAATATCTCAATGGGCGAATGAGTAAAATAAATGAAGAAGGTGTTTTTGTTGAATGTCTTCCATAATGAGGGTCATTTAACCATCAGGGCCCCGTGCACTCGCGCGGACAAGTCGAACCAAATAATTGATGATAATTGAAATTTTTCGCGAAATGTTTCCATTCGTGTAAGGTAAAGATACATAACTGGAAACTTCTCCTCTGGGATAAGTGAGGTTATATTCTCTTTTGTGTTTGATTTTTTGAATTAGCTTAAGGATCAAATTTGGGTTGTAACCATTATTACAAGAATTTTTGGACCTTTTTGTAAATACTTGACGAGTCAGTAATCTACACTTTTGGATTTGTTTTTTGAAATTTTCATAAATATTACTTACCTGCAGGTATAGCACTGATGATGGCTTTTTAGCCGAAAGCGCTTTGCGATTTGATAACAAATTTTACACGAAATACAAAATCTCTTCATATTATTGATCAGTTACGTGTATACAGGTTTTCCCAACGAATGGAAAATCAAAGAAGTATTGTATTAAAGAAAGATGAAATTGACAGTGACCAATTCGTTCTTGAAATATTAAAGAGACAAATATCGAATTCCTGTTACAATAGACCGGTCAAGAAAAAATACTGAAATTAGCTGATGAACATATCTTTCGATGAAGGTTCTCTACCACCACCATTGGCAATAACTTCTTTTTCGCCTGACTATCGTTGATTTGCGGTCCGCTCGTATGGCTGCCTTGAATTTTCCTAGTGTGAAATGGTCGGTGGCTTTAAAAGACGTCACATTAACGTTCATTCCATGTCATTTTAGGTTCACGATGTTATTTGACCAGAATGTGACCTAAAAATGACGTTATATTTCCTGCTGTCTTATTCAAATATGACGTCCCTACAAAGTCCCAAATTCGATCCTCACCATTGGGATCTCAGTAACTATGAGAGATAGAGAAACGGTTATATAGATACATCATAAACTACTCAACACTAATTTCGTCGCACACCAAAATGTCGCCCCTGTTATAATGTGAATAACTTTTTTCAGTTCAGAACAATTTGAATTTGGTTCACACTGTTCGATAGCCCAGTCCTTCAGCTATAATCTGGTACTTCATTGAAACATAAGGGTATTCACATAAAATCTCTACATGGTGTTTTCCGACACTGTGCAAAATTTCGGAATATTCAAAAGGCTCTCAAATGGTGAAAAAAATTGTTTTCTCAACTTCGACAACAGAGGCATGATTACCTCGAGATATTTCGCGATTCAACTTCCTATCTCTCTTATTTACAGAGTGATCTCAAAAAATCAACTTTTTGGTTTTGCAGCCATAACTTTTTTCCACGTCAACCGATTTTGGGAATCTTAGGCTCATTTTGAAGATAAAACTTGTTCTCGGAAAAACAATTCATTCTGGAAGCGTCCATATTTTCCTCGCTCTCAGTACTCAAGAATGTGCGTGAGAAAACACAATTAAAACATGTTCTTGCAAAAACATCAGACCATTTCTCCTCTGTAATGAATGGCCCGTAACCAACGTTACAAGACTGAGTAAGTGACTAACAAGTCAGGTTAGACGTCGTTTTCGAATCATAAACAGATTTTGATAGTTTCGATGCCGCATCTAACGCCCGACCAGTTGGAACTGATTCCACAAATGAGGGAACAAGGATTATCTTCCCTCCAAATCGCGGATCTGCAATAGGGTATACGCGTGTGAAAATTTTACACTGGAATATATTTTTGTTCCATTACTCATATGTATAAATGTCGAATTATACATTCGAAAAACATTATTGAGCACCGAATATTTAATAATTTCTGATTGAAAATCATAATATTTGCAACTTTCCGACCAACAGCCGAACTGCAGCGATGATTTCCGACTGGATGTGGCTGTTTTTATTTGTCATGTCAAACATTCATGGGAAAATATAGAAGAAGAATACCATGGCTGCATGTTCATGTCCGAAAGATTAAAAATAATATAAGAAGAGAAAGTGAGGTTATGATTATGTGAGCTTGTACTTTCTATAATCTATCTCAATTATATGATATATTCTGAATAATAATAACTGAATAATAAACAAATATCTACAATAAGAAGGATCAAACAGGACTTCTTTTTGCATGTTGTTTCAAATATATATTACCACCTATCAATTTATATCTCATATAGTTTTCCATATCTTCTTCAAGCTGAAAACGAAATCACTTATTATATTATTCTCCTAATAACATGAGGAACATAATCATTGATAAATAATGGGTTTCACTAGGACATACTTGAACGTATACTCACTTCGAAATGGTCTTCACAAACAAATCATCTGGTTTTCTAGGATAAACATTTCTACTTATGGCTTGCAACCATAATTTTCTTTTCCCTTTATTTTTATCACTCGATCCCACTGGCAATGAAAGGAATATTTCTCCTGGCGATACTTTTGTTGATGAAAGGCATTGCGGCACTAGGCAGTATTTGGTATAAACATTATCATTTTCCATTTTCAAATTTCAAATTTCTGGCGTTTAAAACTGTTTTCTTCTCCTACCTCTTCTTCTTCTTTTTTTTTCAATCTGAATCTTGTCATTCTGTCGCGCTAGTCTATGGCTGTGCGGCCTAATACTATGACGTCATAATATTAGTGATGGCCACTAACCCGTTTTCCTGTGACTTCATATTTAGCCTCATGTGAATTTGTTAGAGTCACAAGCAAATTTGAGATTAATGAATGATATCCAGTGTTATTATAAGGGAGAAGGAATATAATTTCGATTAAACAAAAAATCATGCGTATTCCTTATTGTTTGGTTATTACTGTCGATTCGTTCGGCGCATTATTGCGACTGGAAATTTTACGTAATTGTCAAACTGTTTTCGTGAAACTTTCACCATTTTTGAAATGCGTTTTTACAATAAATAAATGTCAGCTGGTCGGGTTTGTTAGTCACTCATTGTGATTCTTGTAACGTTGGTTACGGCGGGCCATGCATTACAGAGGAGAAATGATCTAATGTTTTTGCAAGAACATGTTTAGATTGTGCTTTCTCACGCACAATTCTTGACTACTGAGAGCGAGGAAAATATGGACGCATACAGAATGAATTGTTTTTCGGAGAACAAGTTGATTTTCATTCAATTCTCCTCCCAACCAAGATTCGAGGGGCGTTCTAGATTTGGGTCACTTTCAAGAAAACTCTAGATCTTTGATAGCCATCATGAGTCAATTCTGACATTCACATCTCTTCATCTGAAGTTTTATCTTCAAAATGAGCCTAAGATTTCCAAAATCGGTTGACGTGGAAAAAAGTTATGGCAGCAAAACCAAAAAGTTGATTTTTTGAGATCACTCTGTAAATAAGAGAGATAGGAAGTTGATTCGCGAAATATCTCGAGTTGAGAAAAAACATTTTTTCACCATTCGAGAGCCTTTTGAATATTCCGAAATTTCGCACAGTGTCGGAAAACACCATGTAGAGATTTTATGTGAATACCCTTTTGTTTCAATGAAGTACGAGATTATAGCTGAAGGACTGGGCTATCGAACAGTGTGAACCAAATTCAAATTTTTCTAAACTGAAAAAAGTTATTCACATTATAACAGGGGCGACATTTTGGTGTGCGACGAAATTAGTGTTGAGTAGTTTATATGAAAAACCTTTTTTAAGCGGATGGTACTCGAATGGAAATGAATGGGTTATGTTACATTTATTTTTAATTATTGATAAAAAAGAGACTTCAGTTGCATCGTGGCTGCATTCCTAATAGACGACCCAGATCTCTTCAACGAGCAACGTTCTCAATAATAAGACGAGCAAGAATATGTTGTAAAGCGGCGGGAAAACATTCTTCTTTATCAAATTTGTGTAAGTAAACAGAAAATTCTGAATTGATAAAATATTACATCACTTTTTTCAACATTCTCTTTGCGTCATTCTGTTAGATGTAATATTGCTCATTACTCCTCAACTATAGAGTTTCGGTCAGAAATGTTTAAGACAATTTCGACTTGAAATTGTTCAAGGAATGTGCCCTTGAGCTATGGGTATCGAGTCACATGACACCCTGTATATACCTCAACATTTTCTCAATTTCGTCTCTGGTAGCTCATTCTGCGATGTCATTATGACGTCTAAATACGGCTTCTTATGGCTGTGTCATTTCGATGTCATTATAGGGTATTTCAGACGTCATTTTGGGACATCCACTTCGTCATTTTAAAACCAAAAAATAACGTAAACTTAACTCCACTCTGCTACCTGAGGAATATGATTTACACACACACATTTGTGGGATCATCATCACTTAGAACAAAACATTTACTCACATTCGAGTCTTGGTCTCCCATTGTATCCTCAATATATTTCTTCTCAAAATCGGTGATGCTTCCGTGCTCTGAAGGGCTACTCGATCCAAAATAAAGCCACAGAATCATCCATGAGAATCCTAGTACGCCGAAAAGGTAAAACGTAGATGGCCACCCAAATGAAGAAGCAGACATAAAACCAACTATAGGCATAGTTAGAATTGTCCCAAACGCATTACCTGAATAATAGAATAATAAATCAAAATGATAGAATGAAACTAAGAAACAGCCAAAATGCTCAAAGTTGTATGAATTGTTAAATAAATTCTAAAAGCTTGAAGTAATTTCCACAAATGTTCATAAATGAACGAATATGGCAGATTACGAGATAAAATCCCAATCAGCCAAAGTACGTCTTAAAGGCGTCTTTAAGACGTACATGTCGGGACATAAGTACGTCTCAAAGACGTACATATTACGCCCAAGAGACGTCTTTAAGACGTCTTTAAAACGTACATTTTCCACTAATATGTACGTCTTTAAGACGTCTTTTTTAGGTGTTTTTGGTCCATGACCTCACATTGATCTTTCAAATTACGGAAAAATCACATAGTTTCAGTTAATTTTCACCTGTGCACTGAAGTTAGCAACAAGTGCAGACAAGCAAAAAAAGGGAAATAAACGACTTCATCAAACGGTAGACACAAGCGGTCACCCATTCAAGTACTAACCGCGCTCTTTGTTGCTTGACTTCGATGATTATACCATACTCTTTTACTTAGTTTAACATGTACTTGTGTCTGTTTGTAATCAAAACGTGCAAGTTAAATTTGACTCACTTTAAATCGTCCGATTGATTTGAAATTTGGCAAGTAAATATTATTCCGGTGACAATTCGTTGTGATATTATTATTGAATGGAAAAAACAGAATGGCGGATCCAATATGGCGGACGATTTTCTCATTGATTATGTTTCGATTCGAATCAAAATTCAATATTCAAGTTGGTGAATCCAATGTGGCATATGATTTTCTGATTATGGTCTGATCTGATTCAAAATTGGCATCTGAAGGATTTCGGGATCAGAGATTATAATTCCTTTTGTCGAAAATGAAAAATCCAAGATGTCGGCTTCAAAATGGCGGACGAGTTTTGTGATTATAGTCCGATTTTATTCAAAATTGATTACTATGGGACTTTTGGGGTCGGAGAATATGATTTCCTTGTGAAAATTCGAGAATCTAACACGAAGGCTCCAAAATGTCGACGAAAAAATTCAAAAACATCACTTTTGTTGAAAATAAGAAAAACTGAACAATTGAAAATAAAAAACGTGAAGAGATGACATTTTGTTTTTCTTCAGAAAATAACTTACATTATTGTTCTATAAGTCGAATTGACGTACTGGAATGTACGTCTTTAAGACGTCTTTTATACGACATGGGAGGAACGACGTGGATACGACCTGAAATGTACGTCTCAAAGACGTAAATTCGTGTACGTCTTTAAGATGTACATGGATTTACATCTTAAAGACGTAGGTTATACGTCCCTGGACGTAAAGACGTGAGTAAGTCGTAAAATGTACGTCTTTAAGATGTCTGGTGCTGATTGGGAAGCTTGAAGTCATTTCCACAAATGTTCATAAATGAACGAGTATGGCAGATTACGAGATAAAAACGCATACTTTCTTGGCTATATGCCACGCAAAAAATTGAATTACATCTTCCCGAAATCTATGCAATGGCTCGAATAGACGAATAAAATTGCAAGTGTTCCTTTCCTAAATGCCGAATTGTGCTTAAATTGTTCAGGAACGCTTGACTACCTACATACCAGTTTCGAGCTCTATTGGCTCTCATCGGTGCAGGGTTGTCTCCAGATAGCATTCATGACCGTTATCTGGTGCGAACCTAACCCAACATTATAAATATCTATGGATCACCGGTGATCCACATGGCAGCCAACGTGTTCAACGACTTAGGTTAAATGGAATAATCAAAAATAAGTCGATAGTTGTTCAATCTTTTCAAATTCATTCATATAGCTAAAGTTGGTTTTCTCACGTAAACAAATTTTCAGCGTAATTTCACGCTGCTTACCACAAAGAGGAGCAAAACATTTACGAGAAATTACTATCGTTGGTATGGTCGAAAATGTTAGGTGTGGAAAAATGACCTATGTCATTAGGCCCATCATAGCAAAATCATGGGTCAGTGATTTGGTGACATAATACACAGCAGGCTGGAGTCATTCCAACGATAAGTGCTATTCGAAAGCATTCCTGTCACTATGGCAATGAAAATCACTACAATAGTCGCTTTAGAGGTCTTGAACCTCCCACCACTGCACATAATATCATCAAAGTAAATCCAGATCGGTTATAAGCAGACTGTCAAGAGGTCGATCAAGCCCCTATGAACAAAATGAAGTGAGCACAAGTTCTATGTGGAGATATTAGATTCAACCTCAATACTTTCAGAATGAACACGATGGATGAAAAGGCATGGATGGATGAACTCCCTCTCAATGTCAACATTGCTATTCATACATTTTACACGGACGGTTCCATACATGACGATATTGTTTATAGCAGAATTTCAATATTTTCGGACTGCTACGCGGCAATCAAAGCTGTCAACTCATTCCAAGTCAATTCAAAACTAATCTGATACTGTTAGGGTGAACAGACTCTAAAGTGTGTTCCAGCGCAAGGCAGAGGGACGAATTCACTAGCATGAACATCAGCAAGAGAAGCTCTGAATGTACCATAATCTCTTTATGATATAGCAAGAACTAGGGCAGAGTATAGGAGACACCAATACCTTTAGGGTTTGAAACCCAGTCAATATTGAGTCTCATGAAGAACTGTAAGCGATTTTGAGGCCACAAAAATAAATCCCCAAAGGTTGGGATGTCGAGGAAACTAATCCAAAGGCCCCAATCTGTTTTAACTTACAGACTAGGTAATCTATGTGTGTTCAGTTGGTCAGGTTAGGTCAATACATGAAACAGAGGGCATTTGGTTATAATGTAATAATGATGTATTTCAATAGGACTGAAGAGGGTATGTATCAGAATGCGAATTTATTCAGTTGACTCCGAACCGTCATTCCAGCATAGTCAACGCCTGAGCCGTCCGACTCCTAGTGTACATACGACACCGAAGTCAAAGACACACCTAGGTGAGAGTGATAGAGTGTTTGCATATCTTAGGTCAATAAATAATGCGGCCTCCCGTTCCACTGTGTTACCAACCAGAGCGTGAGGATGCTGTTGTCCTGGTTGAAGATCTACCGAGTTAACAACCAGATCTAGGAAAGGTTCTGAAGACTAAGACGGAACGGTTCCAAATTCAGAGGGTTTCTAGAATCAAGGTTTGAATAAAGGAATGAATCTGAGTATTAGATAGTGGCAAGCCAGTGACAGTAGATTACGTATGTCACTTTGTTCCGCGAGTAAACACGACATGATATAAGGGGTGATCATAGCAGCGCGACGTGTCCGTTTTAACTGTACAGAGTGGAGGTTATAGGGTTTCGTCAATATACTCCATACGGGGTGTAATATAGGATATTGTAAATATAGCATATAGAAAGTTATTTATAGTTCTCGTTTCAAGTTCTGAGTGTATAGCATTGAGTATTGTGATAAATCATATATTCTGATCCCTCTGTTTTCTTTATTGTTCATTTATTTTAATTTACTAGAGCATCTTGTAATCCGGGTGGCAACAATCTCATAGTCATAACCTGCACCAGTCCTTTTGACATTGACAGTTTCACGACCCCTGGATTACACTATCTCCACTGATAGTTGCCCGGTGCAAGTGGACCTACCACTATAAAATAGGTGGCGCCCGAGACTGATATTAATTAAACCGTGTAGAAACGTCAAATTACGCACTTCGTTGTAGATAGCCTTACAAAGGTCCTGTTATTAGAATATTATTCACTACCAAGGCGTATATTGAATTTTTTTCACAAGTACCAATATATTTCAATCATAATACATAGTTTTGTGGAACTGAAATATGGATCTATTGTCAGTATGAAAGCACTTCTTTTCAATTCCAATTGAAATCAATTAGCCATGACCATGACAGCATATGACAAGTTGTTATTGATAAATACCAACTAGATTTAAGTGCCATTTCTGCGAATCTCGCATCAAAACAGCGATTTATTATTACAGAGGTAGCTATGTATTCAACGACTTGTGGTCCATAAAATGGCGAGAACTTCATTGGTGAAAAAAACATACCTCCCGCCTTGAAAAGTAGTAAATAAAAGTAGGTTCTATAGCTGGTGGTAAAAAAATAACAATATTGGTGGGTACCTGGTGCCAATGCCATTAATTCAGCGGAAATGAAGTCAAAAATATCATACTTCTAATAATAATCATTAGAAACATGTACACACAAAGGATAAGCACGAATCTTGAATGCAACTAAAAACGATAAAACAGAACAATAATATTATGATGATATTTTGAACAAATAATGCTATATTACCTACAACAAATTATTCAAGAGAGCATTGCAGATTGCCTTGAACAATGATTTTCCCATTCCTTTGATCATTATATAAACTTTATTTCAGATATTTGAACAAATTCTCAAACAATTTCCTTATCATCCATGAACCGCCCATAACTAAATTCTTCTCTTTAACTCATCTTGGCCCTGTTCCACTCAAAATTAACATTATTCCCAGTAAGAAATTCAATAACAAGAAGTCCGCCCATTTTACTTTCTCCTTCAAAACTTCCAACAACCTCAGGAGTTCATTAGTCAATATTAAGGACCCTATACCTGATTTAGATGAATCTGGCGTCTACTTATCAACATGCTCTGAACCTATTCTGTATTCCGCAATCATATAGTTAATAAAAACATTCCTTTGATCCAAATTCAAACCTTAAATTTTTACATTTTTGCCAAAAAAGCAAGAAAACTCATCCCACTATGAAATTTTGGAATTCATCAATGAACAGACCCACTTTGACTGTTATAATAATCTATTCATCCCTCTTACATTTACCTAAACATAAAAATCTCTTCTTTTCACTGAATGAGACTGATTCAATACTTAAAGTTTCAAGAACCATGAGTTTGTTATTGCTCCTATCTCGATTGTTATATTATCCCCATCTCTATTCCTATTTGATGTTTCATGTCACCCTTGTCACTTCATGTCAAAGTCATACTAGTCATACCATTCATTTGATGTTTGACATCTCATTATTCTCTCTTTTCTTTGTCGTAAACCTTCGGTATGATAAGGTATGATCAACAAGAACTATAAGATGGTCGTTCAATTTCAAATTGATTTTTATTGGATATTGCACCATGAAGTTTTACGAACCAGTCCCCTAACATAGATGATCCGCAATAATTGGGGTGGGTCCCTTTATCTTATTTCTGTTGTGTTCGACAATAAAACACAAAGGTTCTTTAATTAGACTATAATTGAATAGGTTTCTGAGGAACAAGTACATGTAACAGCAACCGCCAAAACCCTCGTTTCTAGGTTAAGTGTCCCTCCTAGTGTCACCAATATCAACTGATGAAAGTCACCAGATGTCGGTTGTCACCGACCGAATACACAACAATTTCGTTCAACTATGTTCTTGTTAAATTGTTCTGAATTTTGTTGTGCTATATGAACATAATTTATTCCTCCAGAACCGGTGAGTCTTTTTGAACTGTCGTTGTTGAAGTGTTTGTCTGACATTAATCTTTATTTTTCTCTCACTTTAGTGCTCCTATGTAACTAAAAGCTGATGATGAAGCTCTGAAGCTTCGAAACATGACCCATGATTTTGATCACAATAAAGTATAGTTGGTGGAGTAGACTGTAAGAATTTCGTCCTGTCCAATAAACGAAGTTGTTGAAAGTGACAACTGATTTCCAACATAATCAATGTCTACATTATAGGTGCATTTTGGTCCCGATGCCACCCCTTGCTCCTAGCACTACTAATAATTTGTAATTTCATTATGAAGATAGTGTAACCGTTGAAATACATGAATAATAGTATATTATTCAACGAGCGCCTAATGATGGCTATATATATTACCCACGAAGATGAAAGTTGCAGTACGAGCCGAAGGCGAGTGCTGTAATCATCTGAGTGGGTAATAGTCATTATGTGCGAGTAGAATACTATACTTTATCTACAACTATTCGAACATCAAAGCAGCTCTGAGAGTTCAGAAATATATCTTCGGAAATAATGAAGGTTATTATATAGCAAAATCACTAAATCTGATTTGAAATACTTATTTATTTCATCGAAAACATCATTGACAGAAATTGCAATCAACGAACAGCTTATAACTTATTTCAATATTTTTGATTGTGAAAATATGATAAATAATGTAGGATCTAACTTTCATTAACAGGAAAAAAGTCGTGCAATCACATATCAGTCAATCTTACCAGGTATTATATGTCATTTCACTTTTCAGTTGTAAAATGAATCATACTGTTGCAGATTATTCATTAACTTGCTTTCGCTGTAGCATTCCCTCACCGCGATGATCAATTATTGTAGTACCCTGCCTCTAGACGCTAGTTATCAACAATGAAGTTCCATGGTTCTGATTTGTTTATACTATTCGAATAGCCCGCACATAAGTGTGAGCCAATCTGCAACTGTCAAGTGTCAAGTCCTATTTTATGGTTATGGTTACTCATGATGGTAGTCACTGTTGAGAATGAAAAACAGTGAATTCTCATTTTTCCGTGTACCTATTTGTAGAATTAAGGTGATTAAAACCGTGAGAACCATGTAGGGTGAGTCTTTTGAATTTGCGTGTATTTCACAAACAGTAGTGTAGTGGTGTGCTTCAGTAGAACTAGTAGAACGAATACCTACCTAGTTGAATTTGACAAGACGATGGGATGTCAGATTATTACGCCATCCTACTGTCACTATTATACTCTTATTACTCGATTCATCGCAATAATGTCTGTCATTAAATGTTGAAAATAGAGCTAGCAATGTATGAATGACTCCATATAGTTGTAGATAAATGAATAAAATCATCACTACTGAGAAAACTCGGCCAAGTAAATTGTTTTCTTGAAAAAAAGTCGATTGTGACAAGAACATTTTCACCAACGGTAGGAAAATATGGCACTTGCAGTAGGCAAAACTATATTTCTGGAACGAAGTTTCTGCTGTAAGTGATCAGAACACTTGTTGGTATCAACCAAGTCGATATGTACTTAGAGTTCGCTAATTCTAAGTGAACACTAAACTAGTGCTAGGTTAACGAATACTCACTATTATTAAATTATTTTTCTGACATAAGATCACTTGCTCTGAGCGAACTCATCAATAAAGACAATCTATCAAGTCGATTGTTGCAGGTGACAGCTCACCTGTAGTTATAGATCTCTTTTTCGTTCGGACATCTCCGATATTATTCGAGTACCCACGCCCAACGCGATCACTGTCCAGTGTCCACGAGTCCACGGCGTCATTTCGATCTTAGCATTCGTGAAGTTAGTATACTTGCGTTTCCGCTAGTAACATTGAAATTCCAAGTCATGCAAGTGCCCTTTCGAACAACTATACTATATCATATTCGTATGAGAATTCTCTGTTTGTGTGCCGTGCTCTGTGGCCGTGCTGTGAGCTGTGGGGTGTTGAGTTCTTGATCTGTTCTCTTGAAGGAGATAATGAAATACAAAACTCTTCTAGAACAGTACATAATTGTTTCTACATATGTACAGGATTTTTTTCCACTCCCTATGATACTCGAAGTGGAAGGAAGTGACGTTTAAAAAGTATGAAAGTTGATTTATCTTCAATGCTGGAAGGAAAAAGATAGTGAACCAGAGTGCAGTGCAGTGAGTGAGAGTACCGTTTTTCTCGGTGCATGATGCTGATATACGCGGTATCTAGTATCTCAATATTTGTCGTCCGCCTCACCTTTTTTGTATTCTCTGGATTCATCATACCTTTATAATAAAATGTTTTGAATGCATGTGTTTTTGTCTTATTACCAAGGTTTTATCATTTTTCAGAGAACAATGGAGGTATTTTTTCATACTAGCTAATGACAAGTGAATAAGTCACTATTGGCAAGTAAATAAGTCACTGATGACTAGTAGATAAGTCATTAATGACATGGCATTAGGCCACTAATGACTAGTGAACAAGTCACTAATGACTAGTGAACAAGACACTAATGACTAATGAACAAGTCACTAATGACTAGTGAACAAGTCACTAATGACTAGTGAACAAGTCACTAATGAAAAGTGAATGAGTTACTAATGACAATTGAATAGGTCACTGATGACAAGTGATGTGTTCACTAACCGTTATCACTCTGAAATTTAATGAAACAGGTCAATAGTGGTAGGTGAACATTTTCAGGAACACAAATTTTCTTGTGGTTATTAACTTGTTTCCTTGTCCCATATAGTATACAAGTTTTTACTTGCCACTATCAAATATTCACTTAGGGTTAGTGATTTTTTTTCTCCGTGCGTGCGTCGAGAGAAGCGATGGTGGAGTTCAAGCAATAGGGACCTGTGATACGATGAACTGTGATACGATGAACTGTGATATTTTTTACTCAATTTTATATCAATTTACGAGTCTTATCAGTACTCACCACTCAATGCGAATGCTCCCAACGTGGACCTCTCCTCTTTGGGACTCCACCGACCCAGCACATTGTATATCGAGGGGTAAAAGAACCCCTGCGCCATCCCCTGGACCATCCGGCACCCCATGACGCCGTACGAGCCCAATTGGCTGGCCAGGATCGGCACCAGCAGGCAGGCCGTCGAGTTGACGAACATCGCTCCGGCTAGGAATTTTTTGGTGCCGAAAGTCCGGCCCAGTTCTCCTGCCCAGAGCTGTAGGAGGATGTAGCCCCAGTAGAAGGACGATAGGATAACGCTTTTGTTGTCCCAGTCATAAGTCTGTAATGAGTCACTTTTACTAAGGTAGGTGAAATTGGTACGCCCATGTTTTCAATATGCCCACCCAGTAGAATTTCATAACAATTTTGTTCATTTAGCCCATAGGTTTCCCTGAAAACCTTTTCGCTACACCAGAGCTCAGTGCGAGTCTACAACTCAGTTGTGTGATCATATCATTTTGCATTTCAGGAATATCAAGAGAGCTGTTATGTTTGATAAAGAAGCATCACAACAAAAACATTAATACACGCCGGGCAATGAAGTAGTCCGTGGGCAGTGAAGTGACACTCCACGTCTGCAAAACCGGTAGATAAAATGCTACTTTACGCCCGTTCGAGCATATTGTAACAAGTGTTATAAACGCGTTGCATACTATACTTTTTCTACGAGCTCATAATTCCACTCGTCGACAAGATCATATATACATAATACTGGTTATTGATGTGTTATAGATGTGATGTAGCCAGGTTAAGATACAAGAACCTTTGTGAATGAGAAATTTTCATTTGACGTAGAAGATAAAAACTCTTCGATCGTTAAGGTACCAAAGTTTTCGATTTCTAGATTTCAATAAAATGAAATAAAAAGTATTGTGACGCCAATTCACCGTCGCAAATGTAACGTCAAAACCTATAACAGAGTTTTACTCATAATGCCAACGTGTGTTTCATTCCAGTCAAAGATGTCTGCAGAAGAACTTTGAAGTGTAGAGTGTTAAAGAACATCAATTTGTGGACGTCGATTTTCATGTTTTATTATGTGAGCATTAACTCGCCTTTGGACCACCTTGATTTATATCACAATATTTGGGAGAGAATAGTTACTTTTTTTCTTAAAAAAACATATTCACCTGCCGTCTTATCAATGATGCTTAAAGTATGTGGCGATTCAAACAACTAAAATGGATGATAGGACACAAAAAAAAAAACGAAATCTTTGATCAGAGGGTAATAGCCCAACCCAACGGCTTCTGCAATGTAACCTTACGTTCAATAAAAGTTGAATGATGTGGTTATGCCAGGAGCGCACATTTTTCGAAAATGATTCAAAACAAATGTAATTTCGGAAACACACTGTATGGAATATCTTCTGCGATTTATCAACTCGACGATCCATTGATACGTAATTGAGATAAATCTATAGAATATAATGAATATATTGGTTCAAGCGATGTTCAAACATACGAAGTATGTGTCACGGGTGAGTAAGTAGGTTAAGAACAATATTATTTAGTTAGTTATATAGGTGGCACTCAAGATCAGGTAAATTTTGTTCTAATTAGATAAGACTTTGATGCCACATATGTAGGTAATGATTACATTTTGCTTTCGATATAATGTATATTGTTAGGTATTGAAACGAATATACGCCTTAACAGTGTTTCATTGTTAATGTAAAGGTAATAAATATTTATGTAACAACTATTGGTAAAGTGTTCATTGCTCCATGAGAAGAATGTCAAGTTAAACTATTTTCATGAAACCACTATTTATTTGTTCACACCAGAGTCCAATTAGAATTGCCCATTGAATGTTCATATCTGTGAGCTTGATTACTGAGGAACTGAGGTTTTTCTAGGTATAACTTCCTCAAGTGTCATAGCAGATACCTATCGATTTTTTCCATTTAGCGTCAGGTCAACTTTCTTCAATCTGATATATTTATATGTTTCACTCGACAGAAAAGTAGTGGATTATTATGAAAATGTTATGGGGGTTTGATGAGTCTTCCCATAACGTTTTCATAATGAAAACCCTTCATTATAGTTTTTTATAGTGGTCACAAGAAGTGTACATTTTGTTCATGTACTAATCCGATACTTCAATTTCAGGACATTGATGTAATTTCTGATGTTAAGGCAGATGATGAACATGTATATGTCCGAAAAATGTACCAATTTTGATTGATGTGTCAATCAGATTAAATGTCGTGAAGATGACTTTGTGTATCATTCAGTATTAATTTCATCATTTTGTGTTCACACCATGTCTGTATCAGTTTTTATTACCAATTTTATTCGAATTACTTGGGAACTTCGCATAGAAAAAAACTGTCTTTCCCATAGGCAGAGAAAGTTCACCTTTCCTGCCTGTTCAGAGGAAAGCCATATCCCATGCCGCTTATTGGAGAAAAATTAACGTTTTCTCCAATCTGCCCCAAACGATACGAACTTCTGCATACAATGACAGCAAACACAAATGACTCAAGCGATGGAATCAAAAGACGAACAGACAATTGAGAAAACACGAAACAAAGATGGCGATGGAATAATATATGCATTCTTCCAGTCCACTTGATACATTATGGATATCCAATAGAAATGTGTCACTAGTTATCCATTGGATGGGCATTTAGGTTTCTCCATCGGATGGACAATTGATGTCCATGAATATCCGGAACTTTCTTGGATATCTATTGAAATAGTGTCAGTGGTATTCCATCGGATAGGCATTTTGGTACATCCGATGGATGTACATTTCTTGCCTATAGTGAAACAAATAACTATTTTTCTCTGACGGGAAAACAATTTGCAATTTCATCTCTGTTGACAGGTTATAAAATGTCACTTTTCATAAATTACCTTTTTCACGTGGTAGAAAAGTGAAATAGTAAGTCCTTTTTTCGCGGATATACCGGGTGTCCCAGTATACCTGTATACGCTGTTAATGGTTTTTGTTGTACAATAGTTCCGAAAAATATGCCAATAACACCGTCTCCGAGAAAGAACTAAAAGTCCTTTTATCCTCCATTCGACTTCGCGGTCATCTAAATTGGTAAACAACCACTAAATTCGTCATTTTTTCAAATTAAATCACAGAATTAGACTGACAGATATTTGATTACTTCAAAACAATGATAAAGATGTCTGCAAAAGATGCCTGGCAACGCAAGTGTCATTCCTGTTAAAAACTTCAAAATTCACGTCGATAATTTTCTGATTTTATGTTATATCTTCTCAATATTGATTCGTCCTTCTTCATGTCATCGAAAAAAATAGTGTATTATACAAAGGAAGAATATCACCTTTTAGCTCACGGTTTCAGCAAAGGAAGAGAACAGAACCTGGAGCTAAAATCTACTATTTTTTTTCAGTCTATAATAAATAACTATTTTTCTGTGACGGGAAAAAAGTTTGGCATTTCATCTCCGTTGGCAGGTTATGAAATGTCACTTTTCATAAATTACTTTTTTCCCGTGGGAAAAAAGTGAGTACTTTTTTCCCGGATATATATCACATATATATACTCTGTTAATGGCTTTTATTGTGCTATAGTTCCGATAAAATGAGTCAATAATACCGTCTCCGAGAAAGAACTGCAAGTCCTTTTATCTTCCATTCGACTTCGCAGTTTCGTATATTACTAAACAACTACTGAATTCGCAATTTTTTAAAATCAAATCACAGAATTGAACTGACAGAAGTGACATCAGATATTCGATTACTTCGAAAGAATGATGATGATGCCTATAAAACGCAGGTGTCCCTACTGTTAAAAACTTGAAATTTCACGTCGATAATTTTCAGATTTCGAAATAATGTAATATCTTCTCAATATTGATTCGTCCTTCCTTCTGTCACAGGAAAAAAATAGTGTATTATACACGGGAAAAATATTAGATTTTAGCTCACGGTTTTTTGTCTCCCTCCGCTACGCGTCGAGAGACAACACAACCTGGAGCTAAAATCTACAACTTTTTTCCCTTGTATAATAAATAACTATTTCTTCCATACCTGGAATCTCTTTCGATATTCACGATTGATCAACCGACAAGCATTAGCTTGAATCTAGATTTATGTCAATTGTTCAATCAACGAAGATTAAAAGAGGTCGGATATAGGGAAAATATGATCGTGTAGTTGCAAATTATTCTACAGTGACCTCAAACGCTACCCTATCCCCTCGCTCATCCTAACGAATCAGGACTTTTAGTATGTTATTCATCGTACTTTTCCCTACCACTCTGCAAAAACTTGTGACTACACGAATTGAATCCCCTAGTTTTTGTTCGTTTATTGAACTAATGTCCAAGAATGTGGTGGACATATCTGACCTAAAGACGGTAGACGAGCTCAGCTCTGACCATCTACCAGTTCTGTTTGAATTCGGAGTGACAACGTTGAATGACAAAGTAGAGTAATATATCAAGTTGTCCAAGTCTTGAGTCTCATATTTTTCATTCACAGTTAAAAAAATTATTCAATTCTCAGTCCCAAAACCAGAACCAATCAAATCATCATGGATCTATTTCAAGATTGATAATGATCATGAAAACGACCAATCTTCATCTAATTCAATCGACCTCTTTCTCCTATACCTATAATTTTCATAGTATCAATGGTAAAAATCAAAAAATTCATCACCTGGTTAATATATATTATAAGTGGAGGAAGATGGGATGGTCCTAAAATGAGAAAGTTGCTAGATAGAACATGCCCCTTTTCTTAAATTCATTTTGAGAAATATTGTGGTGTCAAGTAAATTCCACGCACATTTTGTGCCAGCAGTTTCACTCTTCTCTTTTTCTTACCGGTACATCTGGATTAGAACTAGTACTGTTATCTGTCATGGCAACAATTGCGACCGACATATGCACTCGCATTCCAATCCCGATAGCCAGCAGGAGAAACATGAGCATCGCTTGTACATGTCTGATTCCTATGGAGGGTCCTGAAAAAAAAACACCATCACTGTCAATTCAAGTTGATGAGGAAAAAGTTCAAATCATCCTCACAACTTCTCCACATAGAAACATTGAACGTTTACAGTTGATTCTAAATCAATTCAACAGATCACGACACATGTCAACTCCACCCAATAGGATAGGTTTCATTTGAAGTACTACTTGGTCTGCTGAAACTGAACCAATACGATCCGTGATGAGAATTAATATCCTAAACGATGGGCGCGACCTCCCTACAAAAGTTTTCGATCTAATGAAGGATGAAAATACTACAACACCTCTTTACATTACACGATTAACCAACTTGGTATAGTATTGTTCAACAATATTATCTTGGTGATCTTCCTATTATATAATATGATACCTACCCAACAATTTTTGAAATCTTCACAAGCTGATAACCTGCTTGACCAAATTACCAGATGCTCACCAACGCCATGGTATTCATTTTTTCTACTCATGAAAATATAAGGAGTTATGAAGTATATGCAAAGGAAACTGAACTTTACATATAAGAGTGAACTAATAATGAAGTGTTGAATCTAAATATTTTGGATAAGAGTGATTTCTTGAACAGTTCGAGTTGTATACATCATTGAACTCTATTAAAATTCAAATCCGGAATATACAGGGTGACATTTTGAACCACCATCAATATCCTTCTTTCAGTGAATGATATGGAAAATCACAAGTCAGGTCGATTTTATTTTCAAGGAGGACACTCAAAATTGATATTTTTAGCCTTCTTGGTCCAACTCCCTAGGAGTGGTATATGTTATTCTTAGAATCTCAAATAGGAAGGGGGGTCAAGTGGCACATCATTTCGAAGGACGTTCAATTCTCTTTCCAACGGTACTGTCAGTACCCCATTTCATCATCATTTCTTTATTTCTTTCTTTATTTATTTATTTAACAATTTGGCGACCCAACAAACAATTTAATGCCAATAACTTGGTCGCTTGAAGGAAAATAATGGCACATACAATAAATCAGTCGTACTATAAAAGTAATAGCAAGAGAGCAGAATACAACTAAAACAAAAAGAAGAAACCTGTTTAGCTAAAAAAAATGCCTTAATAGTAGTAGATTTTCATGTTATGCAATAGATAAGTATTTTAATTTTAAACAATTCACATTCTATAGTTTGAAAATATTTAATTCACTGTCACTGCTGCTGACCCATTATAGAGTATGATATAACTTTCAAGCTACGCAAGGTGATATTGAATATGTGAATCTGACTGAAAAAAGTGTTATAATTTCTCTGTAGTTTGCTGATGGGTGAGTTATTTCCATAGTTCGTGGTGAAATAAGGTGCATAAAACAAGTAACATGGGCGAGAAGAAACGGATTTTACTCGAATATCTATTTTTTCTAATATTCCGGTACTATATCAATTTTATTGTTGAATAGCTTGTACAGAAATATCATACCTGCAACCAGTCTCCTAGATCTACGTTCGTACGGCAAAAATTGAAGATCTCTGTTATATCTGTAGTCTGTAGAACATTTAAATTTTTTTTTGGCTCTTTCGATTCTATCTATATATTTGTAGTAACAAGGATCCCATATTGAAGATCCATATTCTAGGTGGCTCCTCACAAATGAATTGTACAGTATTATTAATGAATGCGGATTATGAAATTGTTTCGTTACACGAGATATGAAACCAAGATTCTTTAGTGATTTCCGAACTATGGAATCTATATGCTGTTCAAATGTTAACTTTTCATCCAATACTATTCCGAGATCTTCAATTTTTCCGACTCTTGATAAATTATTATTATTAATATTATATGTGTGATGTATGGTGTCTTTCAGCCTGGAGAAAGTAATATAATAACAACATTTGTCAATATTGAGAAATAATCTATTGGATTGACAGTATATACCAAGCCTGTTGAGTCATCCTGAACCTCCAGGCAGTCGTTTGGACACGTGATGGAGGAGAAGATTTTCAGATCATCAGCATACAAACTGCAGTGCGATCTATTATGAAAGCAGGAACCAATGTCGTTTATAAAGAGGCCAAATAATATCGGGCCCAAGTGACAGCCTTGAGGAATGCCGGATGTAATTTTTTGTAATTTGATTCAGTCCCGTTTATTACCACAGATTGGGTTCTGCCTTCTAAGTAGGAACTCAACCAAGTCAGAAGTTTGCCGTGTACACCAAAGTTGTTCAGTTTAACTAGCAAAGTGGGATGATGGACTTTATCGAAAGCTTCAGAATAATCAGTGTACACGGCATCAACTTGGTGATGTCTATCCATTGATTCGTAAATACTTTGGATGAACGGCATCAAGTTTGTGATTACTGACCTGCCCTGGTAAAAACCATGTTGATTCTTGTTTATGCAGTGCTTGATTTCAAAAAATAATTCTTTAGTTCTTGGTGAGCAGTTTCCGGAAAATGCCGTTCTGAACTCACAGAAGTTCAGAAGTAATTGGAACATGCCTGAACTGATATTAATGGTTTTCAGGTAAGAATCATTGTATTGACTCTCCTCCCAGTACAAAATCTTCCTACCATTTGTACTGAAAGGAGAGTCAACACAATAATAATACCCTGAATACAATGATATGCAGACATCATGTTCTAATTTCTTCTGTAAGTTTAGAACGACATTTTTTGGAAACTGCTCATCAAAAAATGATGAACTAGGGTACTGTTCAAAATAATGTGTATCTTGACCACCTTCTCACATCAGGTTCTAAGGGTTGAACTAAGAAGGCTAACAATATGAATTTCTATTGTCTTCTTTGGAAATAAAATTGACGTGTCTTTTGAATCACTCATATCATTTAGTGTTCCAATAATGTCGAAGTGATAGTGAGTGTGGCATCACCCACCGAGCGAATGGTTCTTCTCTGGATGGAATTTCAAAGCATCAGAGTATGTTTGGGTGCTGAACCCCATATGTGAGAACATAATTCTAGAACAGGTCGTATGGGTGGCTTTTCGCACGGAATAAAATCCGAGTTTTGGTGAAGCAGCCTTCCGCGATTGATCTGACATGATTATCCCATGAGAGAGTATCGCTGATGTAGACATCGAGCATAAATATAATTGACTTGGGGGAAATGTTGGTATCACACATTGTTATATTAGGCATACTGAGTTCCGCCTTTCTGAAGAAAATACAGGCTTGAGTTTTCGCGGAATTGAATTCAACTAGGTTGTTGGTTCCCAGGCTGTGATTTCAGCAATATCTTCATTAACAGCAATGACCTGCCTTCGTCGTGAGTTCTTTTTTATCTGAGAAGTAATGTGAATTCTGGAAGAGAACGTAGTATGGAGATGACTTTCATCTGTTAAACTGTGGATAGGGCAAGTGATTGCAACCAACATATCATTGATATGAAGAAGGAATAATAGTGCCAAAATTGATCCTTGTGGAATGCCGGAATTGATGGCAATGTTTTCAGACGATACACCGTCCACCACCACGTGGAGTGATGTGCCTTGAATAATACTCGATAAGAGATGGCATAGCTGAGGTGGTGAGCCGTAGGAGTCCTTTTGGTGCCAAACCGTTACCATCGAGACTACGTGGGTAATGGCAAAACACGGTCGAATGCTTTACGATATGTCTAATGTCACAGCTAGAGATTACCCATGTTTTTCTTAAGAAGATTGCCAAATATGACGCAGGCAAGTATATCTCCAGTTGATCTTCGGTGGAGAAAGCCATATTGTCTATCATTGATGATTCCTGAGCTTTCCAGATATTTGATAAGCTCAATGTTGATGGCTTTCTCCCATCACTTTGGAGATAACTGATAATAGGGCAATAGGCCTGTAGTTGTTGGGCAGGTTTTTGTTACCATTTTTGGGGATTGGTTGAACCAAAAGGAGGCTAAAAATATTGATTTCAAGTACTTTCCATGAAAAAAAAAATTGACCTATCGTTGCGATTCTTCATATTATTTACTGAAAGGAATACTTTGATGGTGCGGAGTTTTCAAATTGCCACTCTGTATTCCCTGATGAAGATGAAGATGATTTCAAGTATTTTTCCTCACCATGATTCGTTACCATGGAATTGAACGTTTGAGACATTGGGATATGGAATTGATAGTATATTATGTAACAAGTGTTATAAACGTCCTTTTAGTAACGAGTATTTTAAGCACGAGCGGAGCGAGTGTTTAATAAACGAGTGTCTAGAAGAGTTTATAAACGCGTTATACATACTATGATTTTTCTACAAACTCCGAAAATTACATTAACATACCTGCAATTTCTGCTAACCTACAAAATAATTCGAAAAAAATGGGAATTGAGAACATAATACATGCAACTGCATGCAACCAGCGAGACACGTATAAGTGATATTAGTTGTAGATGTGTCCAGTCCATTGCTTACTATTTGTTTCACTCACGTTATTGTCATGCTTAGCGCAGAATAAATGAATTGATCTCAAAGATGGATGCTTCATTTTTACACTTCTTGGAGATATGCAAGTAGCAGAACATTCTCTTCGATTTCACTTTCGTCTACTTTTCGCATATATTTTTAATGAAGAATTCTGATACAAACGAATATTGTTTGAATAATTCTGATACAAAATTCGAAAATAACAGTTGACAGTTAATACAATTGACAGGCCAGACATGACTCAAAAAACTGGAGCTGTGTTTAATGAACTGCGTTGCTATGGTAATGTGTTTAAGAAATCGTGTTGCCATGGTAACGTGTTTAATATTTTGAATTAATCACAGATCGACAAGCCGTTATTAATCGATCATTTAGCGTGGTACATATCCGTACGCTGAATACCATTTTAGTTATGTGAGTAGAAAATAGTATATTATGTAACAAGTGTTATAAACGTCCTTTTAGTAACGAGTATTTTAAGCACGAGCGGAGCAGAGCGGAGCGAGTGTTTAATAAACGAGTGTCTAGTACATGCATTAACATACCTGCAATTCCTGCTAACCTACAAAATAATTCGAAAGGGATGAGAATTGAGAACATAATACA